CACTGTACCATTTTCACAATTATTGGCGATCATCACAGTCTTTTAAAAAATTTGTCTGCAAGAGAAATTTGTGGAAATTGAGAAAAATGTGAAACTAAAACCAAGCATATGCTTTTAGCCAATGTAAGTTATAATACCTTTTATTTATCACTGGTCATATAAATGATCTTATTTTAATAATGGTGAATAATTGTAGTCAGAGGAGCACTGAAAGTGAAGGTTGAAATGTTTTGTTCTTTTTACAAAAACACTTTAAATAATAATCTGATTTTAATAATCCCAGTGAAAGTGAAAGCTATGTATCTGCAAGTGACCAGCAGCATCTAGCACACTTACTTGAAAGTTTGAGGTGAGATGTCTTCAAATAACCAGTTCACTGATTCAGTTTCTATACATTTCTAGGCTCTTAAAACCTCCATAAAGTTCTAAAACTACTACTCCATATTTCAATCAATTGACAAATTTGTCAAGTGCTTTTTGTTCAGGCAAATGGCTGTGATAATTTAAGATAATTTTTATATGATAATGTCAATATTAGTTTTAAATTCATACATTTTTTAATAAGGAATGAAGCCCTGGTTGGATTTAGATTCCAGATAGTATATAGTGTATTGTGTAGAAAAGTGAATATTATATATTACCTGCTTCATTGGTGTATTAATCTACAACAAAGCTTCATCTTTGCTATGTCAGCATTCAAAGATGTTGAAGAGAAATGTTAAGAAAGCACTGAGAGTTTCAAACTAATAGCTGAAAGTTGTAAAAACTGTATGTAGTCTTAATGATGATTAAGATTTGAAATTCTAAGGGAACAGTTGGTCACTTCTGTTAGACTATTTACTGTCAGTGTTACTATGATCATTAGTGACCATTCTGAGCATGCTTTCATCTGTTTTAGTGTTTATGTCAGTTTGTGCTAGCTTACATCATTAGTGGCAAAAGGGAAAAATGAAAGAAATAATGGTAAAGTATTTGTTTCAGCTACAAAAAAAGCTGTAGACAGCTCTCATTATGTATTTATCAATGTTATGTAATAGCATGTGACACTACTAGTATGTAGTATTTAACACACATACAGCGTTTTCCCCATGCATGCCTGTTTCAGTTATATTGTACTAAATGTGTATGGTATAATTAAACACCACCCCTACATGTCACTACTACCTGATGTGTTTGCCTTTGTTTCCCACGTGTTTCTATGCATCACCAATATTGCACCAGTGTGTATAGCATTACATGTACTTATATCCATTCACGTGACCATATTTATACACTACCCTACCCCATATGTTTTCTCATGCACATGCCACACTATATAGAGAGGTTCTCCACTTCTGAGTCCCTAACCTACAATTGCTTTCAAATATAAGTTTATGAAGAATGTGGAGAGCAGCACTTTACCAACATAAATAGGTTATCCACCAGAATGTCTGCACCTCCAATCTTGTTCTAATTATAATAATAATTATTATTATTATTATTATTATTATTATTATTATTATTATTATTATGCATGTCACCATGGTTTCACAGTTCAGTTCCGTGTCTTTTCAGTGTAAGTGTGGACATCAGTAGTGTAGCCGAGAAGGGACACATGGACTCAGTAGGTTCAACTTTTTATAATATAATTTTATCTTTTTTGCTTAGGTTTGTTCCTTGATCCTTGTAGCTCCACCTAGCCCCCCCCCCCTTTTTTTTTTCTCCCCTGAATATGATAAGCTGGCATCTAAGTGTGAAAAATAAAACAATATTCACTTTGCATTATTTTCATCCCCTTTTTCCTGCCACAGTAGTAAAATCATGGATCTGTGTGCAATCTTTTCTTACTTGGTTGATCTTTTAATCCAAAAAAAAACAGACCCTTTAAGATGGTTGAGATACCTGTCTGCTGTACTGATAGATCTCCCTTAAAAAAACATTAAAGAGTTTTGGATAAATATTGCTCGTGATTATTCAAGCTTGTCTTGTTTCAGTGGCTCCCCCTGGAGAATGTTAACACTGGTTTGATTCACCTGCGCCTGACATGGCTGAACCTCTCATCAAATCCTGATGATATAGACAAGGTAGGTTGTAGGACTGTATGTAGTGAATTTCAAACTGTTTCAGATGCATACTGATAAATGTATTTTTTCCTTACAGTCATTGTTTCAAGCTGACAAATAAAAAGACATAATCATAACCAAGATTTAGGTGAGAGGGAGGCATCTTGCCATATCTGTAGTGAATTATTTGAAGATAATCAAGTTTTTCCTTTCCTTTTAGTGAATAGTTGTAGGAATACATCACTGAAACTTTTTCTTTTTAGCATGTAATAACATTTCTCTGGCATGTATAGCATTTTGTTTAGATGCAATAAAACATTACAGTGCATGGTTTTAAAAGAGAAAACTTTTTGCACCCAGTCTTTTGCTTTTCAGAGAAGTAATTCTGAAATTATTGTAATTACTTTTTTCTCCACATTTGATTATGTTGTGTGATTGATGTCTTATGGTTTTTAACCTCTCTTAACAATATTATTTTGTTTTTCAGGACTTTAAGATATATTTTAATAGCCCAGTTCCCACCCTGTATTAGAACTATCCTATTGATTAATCCCTAAGTACTGTTAATACATTTACTAACATTTATAGTCACACTGTACTTGCTTGTGAAAACACAGTGACTGTTTGTCTGCTTTCTTTTCCTTTCTTCTCTTACCTTTGCTCTATGTCTTAATGTATTAAAGGAAGTGCAAAACAAACGATATCGGTCCAGAAGAGCATATGACGATGTACCCGTGTGCTATGCTGTAAGATAAATCTAGGATTCGTTTGGTTCTAGGTTTTAATCCATATCACTGAATAAATGTGATGTAGTCAATTTAATATTGTATGATACAAGATTGTCTTTTATTAATATTCAATTGGATTCATTTGAGATTTGTAAATTTTTGGTTAATAAAACAAATTATAAATATTTGATAAAGAAAACATATGGTACTTTTTTGCCACACTACCAGAGTTTTTTTTTTTTTTTTTTTTTTTTTTTTTTTTTTGATTTGGCAAAAAATCACCTATTTGGCTAGAATAATATTTTTTCTCAAAGTTGACATAGTTTAATTGTTCTAGTTGCTCTACAGTAACAGTTTATATAGAGCTGTCGGCTATGCTTATTCAGTGATATGGTTTCTTTCTACCTTTTACATTGATATCCACAATTATATTGTTCTGCTTTAATTAAAAGAGACAATTTAGTTATGATGTTTATCAATCACCTAACTTGTGTTGATGAATTCTTTAACTTTTTTTTTAAATAATCTTTCTTTCAAAAGTTTTGAAATTATTTAAATTTAACCCCTTTCGTGTGCAGTGTTTCTGTTTTAATTTGTTTCTTTTCAGACTTTTGAAGAGAATTATCAGTCAAAATGTTACCAGCTTGCTTGGGCCATACTAACGTTTCAGCTCAAATTCTTCATTCCTGACATTTTGGTACATAACTGTAATTACTAACCTACTACCTACTATTTGCACAACCAGAAAAACACAAATGCAATTATTGATTGTAGAAAAAAAGTCATCCATATTCCTTTTTAATCAAAACGCTGTGCTTTCACCTGGTGGCAACTTTTCTAGCTATCCCCATTTGAGACTTCTTGAAGGCTGTTCTTAAGACCATCAGTGAGACACCTTTTCCATTCTAGATGCAATATTTACAATAATAAGGAAAACTTTATCTTATTGTATTTGATATAAATGAATTCAACAATAGTTTCATGATGATTTGACATACTGTCTGTTTATTTTAATTTTTGTTCTGATTTCCATTTTGAGTTTTCAAAAGGGACTTTTTTATTTATTTATTTGTTTATTATTATTTATTTTTTATTTATTTTTTTTTTTTTTTGGTTGTGCAAATTGACTTTTTTCATTCATGCCGAGATAAATTCTGACAAATATCTAAAATATTAATTCACAATATTTTACGTTTTCAGATACAGATTATTTGACACTACCATGTTAGATTAATCATATTTATTATATTTCTGTGCATAGTTTTAGATATACGAGTTCATGTCAGGGTTCATATTTCACAATGTTCTGATGTTCCAAAATTTAGTTGTGCATTCAATTTGATAACAAAGACGAACTGGAACATAACATCATGTGACCGTTGCTGACATATTTTGCTTTATAAAGCCACATGTTACTTTGTTCCAGTAGTTTTTTAACCCTAGGCTTCTTGTTATACATGTTCAGGGTGCAGTAGACTTTTTTAATGGAAGATGTCCGTAAGTTTATGTTCAAAGATGAAATAGACCAAAATTGGCAAATTGGCCTTCTGTCAAAGCAGTTGCTGGGGCATTTTTTTTTTTTTTTTTTTTTTTTTTTTTTTTGGGGGGGGGGGGGGGGGGGGGGGGTGAAGGGGGTTGTCTTTATCTGCACCCTGATGTTTATGTTTGCTACATTGTTGCATATTTGTCCTATTGTTTTTCAGATTTTAAAGTATTTTTAAAAAAGTAGTTCTCTTTAAAATTTGTAATTTTATATGCTGCTAAACTCGTAGTAAGCCTCATTGATAAAATTATATGTATTTCTCTTTAGGTTTTTGATTGCATGAGCACCAACTTGTTGAACCTTTAGTTACATTGAGCAGGCATAGTGTTATGCTCTCTGTTACTTAGATATAGATTTATTTTCTGTCTTTATATCTCTCTTGTTTTTCTTCCTTTTCCCTGATGCTGTTTCATTGATTCTGCATTGTTTTATCACGATGTGGTAAGTTATTTTTTTAGGGTTTGGTTGACTTTTCATGACTTATGGTTCTCCCTAGCTTTGGAATGTCAACTGTCAACAATGTTCATTGTTGATGTGTTCTTGCAGCTAGTTGGTTACTGTTACATTACTTATACTCATTTATACACTCCCTGATGGTATCAAAATTAATTGATACAGTATTGCTTGTTCCTTTGTAATATCTTGCTTCTTCAATTTAATTGTTCCTTTGTAATATCTTGCTTCTTCAATTTAATTGTTCCTTTGTAATATCTTGCTTCTTCAATTTAATTGTTCCTTTGTAATATCTTGCTTCTTCAATTTAAGAATGCCATTTTGACTAAAACAGTCTGTTAAGGGTTTCAGCTTTTTTTTGCTTTTGATATTTGAATCAGTACGAGTTCTTTCAGTTTGTTGTTTCAAACGTGTAATGTTTCAGAAACATATGCATATTCCTTTAAATAATAGTACGTATTATTTGCCTCTTAATTTTACTACAACATGTGGTTCAGCTTATTCTTGGGAATCTTTTAGTTTCAGTTATTGCACTCAATTTGTACCATTTAAGAAATTTATACATATTCTTTAAGTTAATGATATTATTTGCTTCTCCAAATTTTTAATTTCATAAAGTTGTATTTTAAATAACATTTTGCTTGCATTACTGTGTAATGTAGTCATTTTCTTTTTATACTCTATTATCCCAAAATAAGATATTTGGCTGATATTATCTTTCTTCTACTTGGTTCTTTTTTCACTTATAACCTATTACCTGTTGAACAACCATTAGGAAAGGGGATATCCTTGTGTTCCACAGAGAACTAGAACTATATTTTAACCTTAGCTTTGTTTTTGTTTAGTTTGCCAACTAAATGCATTTTCTGGTATCATTTTTTTATTATAAATAGACATTGTTTTAATGTTTATTACTTTTTAATAAGCATTATAACTGAGTACAATGAATAAAGTTATATTAGCAACAAAAAATTGCCAGGTTGGAAACAGAACCTTAAAATGTTTGGGGGAAAATGTCAAGTAAAAGAAATTGATGTGTTCTTTGTGGAACCTTGGCCCAGTTAAAATATGGATTAAAGATCACTATGCCAAATCCAAAACACCCAAAGTATGGTATCTTCAAGTTCAGAAAAGGTAGTGCTTGCTTATGGGAGACTACAGGAAAAGCTTGTGGTGCAGTGTAGTTATTGCATTGTCCTTTCTTAAAAAGCTTCAATTTGGTCCTTGAAGGTTGAAGAATGCCAACTTTTTATCTTTAGCTAGTTATTGCTATTCTAATAACATCGGCCATTTGGAAGATTTGAATGAGTTAGACATATTTGACAGAACAAGTGGAGTAAAAGGTTTACTGCATATTAAAGCAGTCTTTTTTTTTTTTATCTCTTTTATTTCTAGTTGACCATGTTTCTTCTAACAACAATGGTATTGCATAGTGTTATCTTTTCAAACTTAAACAAAAAGCATGAAATAGCTGCTCCTATGGCATGCTTTGTATGTCCTCTACCAAGGAATCTATGTATGCTGGGTGGATCAAAACATCAAAAACAGTAGACTTCTAACTGAAAAATAAAAAAAAACTGCAAAATTATTGCAGTTTCACTTTATTCTGCTATGTGTTATTGCCTCACTGAAAATTAAAAATGTACTATTTCTTTTTTCCACCTGATGCATGTTTTATATTACATCTGCTTGTAGTTTCTTATCCTATGATAAAAACCTTTAGGTATTGTGAAATTATGAATGGTTCAAATGACCCTTGACCTATATATATATTGGTGGCTAACCTTTGACCTATTTTTCAGGCTCTTGAGCAGTGTACAGTGGCGTGGAGTGAAGAACACCTGTCCTCATGTTTCCTTATGGTAACAGTGGATGCCTGCCACAATCTACCAGTAAGATATTTATCACGTCTTTATTGAACACGCATGTCAAGGCATGTGTGGCCTGCAGTAAGCATGGATGGCTTTAACAGAACTGTTTTCAAATGGTTTTAATTTTGGGGAAGTAGACAGTCATTCAATTGTACCCACTGCACTGCCAAACTCTTCCTCTCTGTTTTGAGATCTTTCTCACTACTCATTGATTTGAGCAGTTAATTCAAGGGATTGATGAAAATATTGCATTGCTGGGGGGGGGGGGGGGGGGGGTCTGCAACTTACACATATACTTCCTAAAGTTAAGACTATATTTAAATACCTTATGAATGCTGTCATTGGTAAACTTGTGCTTGTTCAGGGTTTAAAAAGGCTGAAAAATGGGAATTTTTATAATTAATATTATATTTAATGTTATTAATTTCCTCCCTTACACATTGTTAAACTAAAGGTCAGCTAATCACAGACAAAGCTCACATCTTGCATGGCACATATTCAACTTCAGAACTAACTTATACTTTATTTTATTTTTAAGGTTTTTGAATTAAACTGTGGGCCTTCTATTTTCAAAAGAAATTTAAAATTAGATGATATTAGAACTAAAGCCCCACATAAAACATTCTGCATCTTTTTAAAAAATATTTTCAAGATTCACGATTGATATTATGACCATGATTGTTACGCTGACCACTCTTTGATCGTTCTAATACTTGTGTATACCCAGGGTTCCTCGGGAAGCTGTTTTTTACATAGCGCCAGTGGTCAATCCACGGTATGGGGCAGTGTGATATGTGCTTTCTGTGTGCTTATATACCACCATGAGTTTTAAGGAACATTCAGAACAAGCCGATCCAGGGACTAACAGATCCGCGGATCAAATATGGCTGACCCACTTGAAAGCTTGCTGCATAACCCCCTAATAAACAATGAATAGGTTCTATGGGGAGACAACGCGGTAAGCTTTCAAGTGCATCAGCCGTATTTGATACGTCGAGCTGTTAGTCTACAGATCAACTTTGGTTGTGAATGTGACCTCAGAGATTTCTGGAAACTCACATCTGTATTCAGCTTGCCTCTGCAATATCCAGTATCAAGGGCATCCTGTATTGATGCCATTTTCCAGTATTCTCTGAAACTCATTATACAGACATGGTGAAAAAAATATTGGTCAAAATGCCGGTCATTTATCAGGAACAGAGATCAAAATCTTATCACTCCAGATGAACAACTACCAGTCTAAATATTCAGATTGAGAATGACTTGTTTTTGACCATTGACTGACAGTCAACAGAACTATCTTGATATTTTTTACACAGGTCCTAAATATTTAGTGGTCCTTGACCGAAGGTCTGGAAGTTTCACCATGTCTACATATAGACTAGATGATGCTATATATTAAAAGCACGGGCGGATCCAGAGGTATTTTCTGACAGGCTTCCAAATTATCTTTATTAATCCACCCTCCATTTTTGACCGTCTTCCGACAGAAAACATTAGATACCCGTCAATGTAAACTTGAAAATTTGACCGTCTTCCGGAAGACCCAGAAGATGGCCTGAATCCGCCCCTGAATAGAAATTGTAGTTGTTATAGTATGGTAAAGGGCTCTGAAGCAAATCTGTTTCTTCTGTGAGCAACTATGTTGTGTTGTAGTTGTCACTTTATTGTGCTTGTAGTCAGCCCATGGAAAGGGGTTTTGTAACATATATATTATTATACTAATCTGCATGTCCACTGTCATGTGAACCTGTGGTATTTTGTCTACGTGGTACTATCATGATTTCTTTATTAACAGCTGGCCTAGAGTGGGGTTATGTGTATCTGCACATAAACACATTATAATTTTGTGTGTGTGTGTGTGTGTGTGTGTTTAATCATATATTTCCTATTTATAATAAATTTAGTTTTGATTTATGAAGTTCAACACAGCACCAATTATAGTTTTCTTACCATCATGTTGCTAGTGGCTAAGAGCTTAATATATGATCTGTGTGCTTCTGTGTCAATAGACGTGAAATATATTCCTGAGTGTTCTTTGAGAGATACTCAGTAACTCTAAGACCTTATTAACATATTTTGGTGATTTCACCTTTGACCTGACCTCTCAAGGTCACAAGAGTGGTAAGACTTAAAATTTCTGGCAAGTTAAAGCTGTCAGTGGTAGTAGTATATGTCTTTTAAATAAATTAAAGAAGCTTTAAGAGCTTTATTTAATTATTTAAATATGTGCATTTTTTTCATAGATATTTATGTTACTTTTCTAAAATTGATACAATTAGGGTTCATTATTAGATTGTAGTCATAGTTTATTATGTAACAGGAAGCTAATTGTTCTTTTTAATTGTTCATGGTTCCAAGATATTGTTTTAAGTCAAGCTTTTGGTGATGAAAATCCCTTACTTTGGAATAAAAATTCTGTAAAAACTGCTTTTCACTATTATAATAAGAGCATCATCAGGCTGAATGCCCGATTGAGCAGGACCACCTATAAGCTTTTAAATTAATATCTTTAACTCTAGCTGTAACATTTATTTTCAATTGTCTAAAATTATTGATAAATCGTGAGATAAGATTAAAGACTGCAGTCCACTGCTGATTTAAGAATTAATTTAAAAAAAAAAAGTCATTTTAAATAAAATTTTACAGGTTCGTGTAAATATATGAATGATGATATGTATAATTTAATTGTGCACCTGTTTTTCCAGAATTCAGGTGGTAAGTACCTGACAGAGCCCTCTCCCTATGTGACCCTGGGTGTTGGAGGGGAGAAACAGCAGACTCAGGTGAAGAAGAACACTGATCAGCCTGTCTTTGAGGAGAACTTCAAGTTCTTGGTGCACAACCCTAACATGCAGGAGCTGGATATGGAGGTAAATGTAGCAGTGTGTTAGAGAAGATTTCTTTGTGTTTAAGAATAAAGCCTAGTGTGTTACAGAAGATTTCTATAATATAATGTGTTTAAGAAGAAAGATTAGTGTGTTAGAGAAGATTTCACCATCTGTTTTTGAAGGAAGTTTTTTTTGTTAAAACGTTATGTGAAGATTTTCCAGTGTTACAGAGAAGTTTGTTAGAGGATAGATTTCAGTGTATTTGAGAAGAGGAGATAGTTCACTGTGTTGAAAAGTGATACAAGATTAAACAGATCCAGAAAGACAGCCTTAGGGTTTAATTATAAACCCAGCAAATCTGTCTTTCAAGGATATCAGTTTTTTTTTTCTGTAAAACTTAATATGTCCATCATATTCCAGGTGTATGACTCTAAAAGCAAGAAGATGCTGGGCTTTGTGACAGTCCCTGTGAAGGACCTTCTGAACGATGAAGACATGACTAAGTTCCAGTCATATCCTCTCAAAGAGTCTGGACCAATGAGTAAAATCACACTGAGGTTACAGCTGAGGGTCAGTGATTTATTTGTTACCATTTAATGATAACAGACTGATGTAGAATTAATTCGTCTATGGTAATTACTCGATCTTTTCAGTGGGAGGAAAATTCTGAATTTGACAGATACTGTATTATTTAAAGTCATAAATTCTTGAAATTAGAACATTCCTATTGAGTGGTAGCAACAAATTAAAACTGAAAAGCAGGCCACCTTGTGCTACAAATGCTGCACAAGAATGTATATTTTACTCCTCATTCAAAAATTATGTTTCTGAAAGATTCAGCAGTTTTTAATGAGTCGGTATTTTTGTTAACACAATTAGATTCTGCTGTCTGGCACTGCCCCAATTGATTCTATGCCAACAGAAGAGGCTGTGGATTCACTGGTCAATAATTCTAACAAAAATACAGAGGAAGGGGGAGAAGATGGGGCAGAAGAGGAGGAGCCAGCTGCTACTTTCTCTCTTGATGATCCTGGTAGGCTGAGAGAGCAAATGCTCTGATTTGTCCTGGAGTGTTCAATCACAAAAGAAGCAAAAAGAAATCTAATACTGGACTAGCTATTTGAAATCAGTGATTTCAAGTGATCCAACTTTGCAATCGTTGCTTCATGACTTCGTAACTCCAGCATTAGATTTGATTTAAATTATCTCTTTTGTGATCCTGGAAGGTTGTTTCACTTAATTTGGCTGTGAGTGGCAAGTGTTTCCCTTTTGGATAAGAAAGGGTATTCATTGAAATAGTACTTTCTCTCTGGTTGTTTCATACCTTGCTTTCCATTTGTAGAAGAAATGTTTTCTTTTTGGTTTAATGGGAAGAGGAATGTTAATAAAAATGTAATTTATTGATTTGATATTGAGTCTTAACTATAGCCTGTTTGGTAACTTGGATACAATTCTCTTGTTCCCAATTAAAAGTCCTGACTGCAGTAGTACTGATTAGTATAATTGTTCATAACCTATAATACTGACCCTTGCACTCTCCATATAACAGACTTGGACACCCCAAATGGTAAGGCACAAGAAACGCCCACTAAATCTGCAGCAGGCTCTGCCGACTACTCACCAAACTCCAGCATGAAGAATAACGAGATGAGGAGAAGGTCTGGACATTCAATCCACAGGTAACGTTTACTTGTTATTCCATGTAACAAGTTATTCCTCACCTCACTCTCATATCTCTTTTTCTCTCCCCCCCCCCGACTCTCTCTCTC